TAAGCATACGCAAATGTCCAGAATATCTAGACAGAGTATGGTAGATATTTAATTGTTGAAGTGATATTTAAGATATTCATATACAAAAGCCTGAGATGATTTACCTCAGTTCAGAGGCCTTTCAGAATTCAGAAGCAGCAAATTTACTTTACCAATTTATCATTTTAATATATACTAAATACAATTCTATATTATGCAGGTACTTTGTGACGGCCACCCCGAAGAGTTTGCAACATACTTGCGTTATGTGCGGCGGTTAGATTTTTTCGAAACACCCGACTATGATTTTCTGCGAAGACTGTTTCAAGACTTATTCGAACGTAAGGGCTATACCGACGAGGGCGAATTTGACTGGACAGGGAAAACTATGGTGGGTAGCAAGTTGAAATTTATTACTGATTAACAATGATAATCACCGCAAGATCCATATTGAAAATATGTGCATATTTGAAATTGATAATTCACATTTGCCATTTAACAAAATTCATCTGCGAGCCGAATTCTAAACTCATCTAATTTATAGGAGACCTAAGCAAAGCAAGAATATATCCAGTATCTAACACTTGAGTAATGCGCCTCCCTCATGTAACTCTAAAATGCTCATTTTAAAATGGGCAACGCATGTTGAAGCCCACCATCCCCCACCTCAGCGGTAGAGAGTATAGAGTTGAAAAATCAGTGATCAATAAAAATATTTCGGATAGCATGCAAAAGAGCCAAAGATGCCCAAATACGATGCGATAAAAACAGCAAATGATTGATTATATGATTGAATATGGTGATGGGCCCAGATTGTTCAATTCAATTCAATTTCGATTCTTGTTRCAGCGCGATGTTTATTTCTTTCATTCCGTTTATGAAAATATATTTTTATAAAGCGGCTATTACAAAATTAAATTAAAGAGAGACCAAACCTAACTTCAAGCCGTGAGAAAAAAATCCCCAAAAAAAAAAAAAGAAAAACAAAAATCAACAAAACATTTTAAATTGTTTCATTTATTGCTTGCGAGCTTTTCTTATGTTATTTGCAACTAAATTCGATAAAGAGCATTTCTTTCTGTGTGTGTTTGACCGCCTCGTGTTTATGTACCATCAATTCTAAGACCAAGGATCAGCTGGAGCAAATGAAGGTTATTAAAAATGCGCCGCCATCGTATTTGGCCAAGAATAAATCCGATAAGGTATACTCGAATCAGTTCTGTTTATGTGCCGATATTGCCAGTGAATCGATGTTATACTGCCAGTTACTGCCATTAATGTTGCTTGTTCAGTGTTGGTAAACGCTTGTCGCAAGCTCACATTATTTATTGTTAAGCACTAGCGTTAAGGCCTAATTGAACTAACTGTAATTGAAGCCATTCTAACAGCACTCTCTTCTTTCTCTCTCTCTCTCTCTCTTTCTTCGAAATTCTGTTCTTATGATTGTCAACAACAACGAACACAAATAAACAAATCAACCAAAAAATAAATAAATATAAATAAAAATAATTATGTGTCTGCGTGTATCTGTGTCTAAAATAAATATATTTATATATCCTATATATAAATATCAATCGAAAAACTAAATCGACCGCATCCATATATAATATATCATTGACCAATCAACCACGCCCACAGTCAACGCCCGTCGGATCTCTGCAAACTGGCCATGAAGTCATCATTTCACCAAATAAAGATCGTCATAATGTTACGGCTAAGGTAAAGTATTCTAATCTATCACTGACAATATTCGTGAGAAACTTCTTTGTTATTTAACTTCTTTGTTTCTGTTCATTTTGTTTTTGGTTATAATTCTTCCGGTTGTAAGGCAAACAATTTCCTAATTACTAAGTTCAAAATGTTATTAATTTACTCTGACTACTTCAATAGTTCTATATTCGCTTTACTTTTCTCTGTATTTTCAATCAACTTTTCTTACCTAACTGCTCTTTTCCTTGGTTTCTGCTTTTCGTTTTCTCGTTTATCTATCTAAACAAAAACAACAACTTTCCAATACTTTTTTCTGATTATTGAACCCGACTTGCTTTAGGACGTCTCGTATTTTGATTTTGATGAAATTGATAATGAAAATGAAGAATATATAATACTTCAGGTTAGAGTTAGTAGACCTAAACTATATAGTACATGTTTTGTACCTGGTTAGCTTTTAATAATAACTGTACATGAACACGATTGTCATTTCAGTGAGCTAGAAATGGATAGATAAATGTAATTGCTATACTTGAATTATGTATATTTAGCTGATGCTTTTTAATTTATTAGCTCCTAACTGTGTGCTGCTTTTCGATTCCATTTGCTCGATCCTCTAAGGTAATTCAAAATTCTAGGCACTGCGTTGTAAAGAGGTTCGGTTAAAGGAAATACATGACTCGTAGTGCTAGATATCTTAGAAAGCTGATTGCTGCTGTAAAATGTTTAATGACTAACAATATCGAAATTTGGTGAACGGTTCTAACTGCTACATATATATATTTAGCTGCTGCTGCACACCCTTTACACACACTCACACACATACAACCGCAGGCGTTGGAATTTGATTTTGCTTAAGTGTTATAATTGTTATCAACTTGGTTATTATTTGATTTATTATTGTAACAAGTTTAGTTCATATGGGCACACACTCGACTTGAGAAATGCTTTGGATTTTACTTTTGTTGATAGCCACAAACAATTAGCGTCTAGTCTCTCTCTCTCTCTTCTCTTTGTCTATGTCTTTTGAAAACGATAAAATTAAATTTAATAATTGACAAATTTATGCATTGCTCGCTCGCTCGCTCGCCTAAAACCCATAAAACCATCCGACACACTGTAAAACGAAACTCCAACCGATCCGAACCGATCCGATCCGCTCCGTTCCGATCCGATCCGCACTGCTCCTCTACTCCGGTCGATACCAACCATAGACAAATGCCAAAGGAGGTGTTGCTGCGTGGCCGGACGTGCCCAAGCCGGGTGCGACCCTTGGCAATCTGACACCCGCCGATCGGCATGGTTCAGTGCAGGTAAGTCCAGAGTCGCAGACGAAGCCGAGGCTGAAAGCCAGGCGACACTTTTGTTACCACATTTCGTTTTTCTGTATCGTTCAGTTATCAGTTTGGTTTTGTTTTCTGTAAATATATCGAAATTCATAATTCAACTAGAGATCTAACTGATTTGAGCGCTACCCCATGCCCCCATGCCATTTCAATATCATTGGGTATCTTTTCTAGGTTCTACATCTTAAGCACATAAATGTTCTCTGCTCTATTGTTTCCCGCTCGTTGAACTATTCTCTTATATGTGTAACATTAAGCATACGCATCCATTCAACATATCCATATATATCCTTAGATTATTTATATACTTACATTGTTTTATGATAATGATAATGCTAATGACAATGATGATGATGATTACAACAACAAACAATATCTATTAATTGAATTACTCGCAGACTGTTATATTTTTGGCCTTTTCAATTCTAATGTTTTCACTTGATTTACTCTACATTAGCTCAACAAGGTACTGAATTCAATATATCCCAAGTGTTTCTATTCTACCTAAGTACAATCGTTCGGTTTGTTTGTTCTCTCGTTCCGTTCCTTTTCCACTAGTTCTTTTTCTCGGACAAACTTTTTTGAAATTTGAAATATACTGCGCCGATTATCAAATGGAATGTGCATAGCTTGGTATCTAGTTTAAAGAAAAGTAAAAGTATCGAAAACGATTGCATGTCAAAAATATATGGATAATATGAATGTAGAGAACAATGCAATAGCTCTTGAGAAGATCTCTCTTAAGAATAACTATTTTTTTCGCACCGCATGACGTTAACCAACACTGATCGCATACTGCATGCCCCTCACTATAGAATCCAATCACTGCATGTACTATTCACATAGATATATATAAAACTCTCTCTCTATATAAAACCATAGTCTGCACAGTTTTTGAGAATTCGGCAATAATTAGATTATCATAATCTCTTACACAGTAAAAAATGTTGGTTAAGTTCTTATCAATTTGGAATTTCAATAGGTTTGAATTCAATTTCATAATCAACAAAATACTCTTCCCTTAGATGAGGAAGAAGGAAGGGCATTTTAAAACAGTTTTGAAGTTTTACATGAAAGTGAACCAAAATTTTTTACTGTGCACATAATCAGTTCCATTGGCATGCCCATTCGTAAGCAGAGTCAACTGCTTAACAGCCAAACAAGAAGAAGAAGACAAATCAAAACCCCAACTTATTACAGAGATTGCCCGAAGATTCAAGCTCGGACGATGATAGCCCATTTGATGCTTATTATGAAACAAGCGACGGCGACGATGGGCCCAAGAAATAATAACCACTTCTACTTCCACTATCTACCACTATCTGCTATCTGCTATCTACTATCTACTATCTTCTACCTACTAGATCCAGCTACAACTCTGTTTGTCCAATAAACTTGCCTACCCCAAAACAAATATATGCTATAAGGTTTTATTTACATGTGTGTTCTAGTGTCAACACTAAGTGCGAGGTATTTTTTCAATGCAATTTATGTGGCCTGTTCTCCAGTTTAAGATGTTAAATGTGCGTCCGACCTGTGTGTGTATGTGTTTCTGTCTCTTGTTCAAATACATTCAGTTAGGATCAACCGTAGAACATTTTCATAGCTGCAAACGTGCTGAATGTGGAAAGGCAATCTCTGTAGAACTGAGCTGTAAAATAAACCCATACGAATCAGATACAAATCAGCGATAAATGTCATATAACACTATCGAATATGTAGAAATTTGGATTTATTTTTTTACATTAAATGATTAATTTTGTTAAATTTATCTCCAACATTAATTCGGAATTGATTGTAATTTAAATTCCATTTATCATTTTTATATAGAAATAACATTTTTAGAGTTCTATTTTAAGTAATACTCAGTAATACTCTTGTAGTACCGTTAAATTTAATTATCTGAACATGTTACACTTCATCTTTGCAAATGATGTTGGGGGGAAGCCCCGTTCCAGAGGCAGCTCGTTTGCAGCTCATCAGACAGACATGCATATAAAGCTCATGCGAGAGAAAAGTATCTAAATTTGATCACATTCACTCGGTAGCTGCACAATACTAGCAAAACCTCACCAACTTCCTGATGGGACATTGTTTTTGTTCATTGTGATTTCTGTTTCGTTGGTAGACAATAAACGATTATGGTTTTCATATCTTTTTGACTAGCGCTATAAGCAACAGCAGGGTTTATGATGCGTCAAATATGTATTATCACCAAGTATATTTAATATAAATGCAGACAATACTATGTACCCTCTATGTTTAGTGTTAGAGTGTGAACGTGATTCGGTCGAAACTAATGCAAATAATGCCGTGCAATACTCTGCATTCTGTTTGTGTCGTTTTTACAGGTTGTGAGTTCGACAAACGGCGAACTGAATGCGGACGATCCCACGGCCGGACACTCCAATACGCCCATCACCCAGCAGCCGGAAGTAGAGCTTGTCGATGAAACAAAGTATGTTGCGAATCAGATGCGATTGCTCTTGGTGAATCGATCGATTGATCGGTGGATCGATCGATTTGCCAATGAGTGGATCGATCGAATGAAATGTTTTGGTGTTTTTGCTTTGTCGTTTTAATGCGCATCTCTCTCTTCGGTTCTTTTTTGTAACTGTTTCTAGTGGTTCCTTATATTCCAGATGTTGTTGTTTCTTTAAACGAAAGAAGAAGAAATCAACGCGCCAAAAATGACTAGAAGGTGTACAATGTAGTCCAGAACGCGAGGCAGTCACATTGCTGCGCGCCACTTCACATTCAAACTCACGGGATAGCGTATTGAATAATCCGAGTCAGGATTACATCCAACAGGCAACGTCGCAGCACACGTTGCGTTATCCTCCATCCGCGTCGATGTTGACGCCAACACCAACTACAAATACACCGACACTTCCGTTGTAATTTATATAAATACAGAAACCAGCAAATAGAGAAAAGCAAAAAACAAAACATAAAAAAATAAAAAACAAAAAAAAAAAAGAAGAGAAGAAGAACATAAACAAAAGCCTAAAAACATTAAACACCACAAACAGAAAAAAAAAAAACTGAAAAAAAAAAACAGTAAAAAATTGCAACAAAAAAATACAAACGAAAACAAAACAAAATAAAAAGAAAAACACAATTTTATTATTATTTTTATTATTTACCAATTTTGCGTTTATGTTAATTATATAA